GTATAGAGCAAGCAGGGGACTTGCAAAGACTTGCAGGGGGGAGATCTCATTTCTCCCTACCCCACCATTTCCTATTTTCCTTCCCTGGAAGCCCCCGTAGCCTCTCCCCTTTTCTTGCTTCCTTCTGTCCTTCTGACCCTTAGGTCAACCTATGTTTATCTGCCCCCCCAATCTTAAATTTCCCCTGCTTCTCTCCCCCAGCAGCTTATTTATTTGATTTGTATCCCGCCCGTCCTGCTGAGGCAGGCTCTTTAGAGAACTAAAACGCAGGCAGGCTCTTTAGAGAACTAAAACACAAGATTAAATAAAACCACAACAGTATAATTATAAAACACAGCGTAAAGTGCTAGTGCTGTTTGTGAACGATGGCGGGCATTAGCAGCGTCTAACATTAACATATTAATAATGATGTTAATATTGGGGCCAGGGCCTCAATTTATTGGGGCGGCTCCCTAGTCGAAGGCCTGGTGGGAGAGCTCCGTTTTGCAGGCCCTGCGGAACTGTAAAAGGTCCCACCGGGCCCTGATGTGTTCCAGGAGCTCATTCCACCAGTGTGGAGCTGCCACTGAAAAGGCCCTGGCCCTCGTCACAGCCAGCCTGGCTTCTCTAGGGCCTGGGAGGGCCAGATGGTTTTGGGACCCCGATCATAGTGCTCTCTGGGGAACATGTGGGGAAAGGCGGTCCCTTAGGTATGTAGCCCCCTGACCATATAGGGCTTTAAAGGTAAGAACCAGCACCTTGAATTGAATTCGGTATGCTATAGGCAGCCAGTGCAGTGCTTTTAGTGCAGGCTGGATGTGCTCCCACCTAGGGAGACCCAACAACAGCCTGGTCGCCGCATTTTGCACCAGCTGCAGCTTCCGGATTTGGGACAAGGGCAGCCCCATGTAGAGAGAATTGCAGTAATCCAGTGTCGAGGTGACCATTTGTCATGATCTGTGTAGAACTGGGAGACAGGCCTAGTGAGGCCTAGGCCCCAGAAGACCTGTGTGGGAGTGGAAAGCAGACAGCCTACAATCTCCAATGCTTAGCGATGGTTGTAACCAATCGGTGTCCATGGATTATGTGAAGAGATTGTGATTTAAACTTTGTGGGTTGTGGAACTGTGTTCTTTTCTCTACTGCGTTCTTCCTCTCACAGAGTTAAACTGAGGGGCCTGGATTCTTTTCTCTCACAGAGTTAAGCTGAGAGGACAGTCTGGTCTGAGAGAAAGATCCCTCACTTGGGACAGAGTGAGTACAGGCACAGGCCTGGTATAAAAGGCTGTGGGCCTTGAATAGTAACCAGTTAAGAGAAATAGGTAGCCGCGTTAGATTTTTTTATTTTACCTTTAGACGGTGTTATATATTTAAGCACCTTGTCTTGTTTTCTTTGCCCCATTACTGTATTAATAAACCATTTGTTTAATGTTCTCTGCCTGGTCATCATGCCTAGATTTCTCAGCTTAAAAGGGGCATGTTGGTTTCTGGGCCTTCCCAAGGGACCCTAAGTCCAGAGTGGTGGCAGAGGAAGGTGGCAACCCACTAGGGGTCATTACACCATTGTATGGATCACTGTTGCCAGGTCATTGCGTTCAAGGAAGGGAACCAACTGCCTGATCAGCCGAAGATGATAAAAGGCTGACTTCGCAGTGGCTGCTACTTGGGCCTCCATCATTAAGGAGGCATCCAGGAGCACTCCCAGACTCCTAACTTGCCGTACTGGCATAAATGGTGCCCCATTGAAGGTCAGGAATGGGATCCCTACCCTTGGGCAACTCCAGGCACAGGACCTCTGTCTTCGTCAGATTCAATTTCAGTCGACTCAGTCTAAGCCAACCAATCACGGCTTTCAACGCCAGGTCCAGATCTTCCAGACTAGAGTCAGGGTGGCCATCCAACAACAGATAGAGCTGAGTGTCATCTGCGTATTGGTGACGACCCAGCCCATGACTCCAGGCAATCTGGGCTAGGGGGCACGTATAGATGTTAAATAACTTCGGGGAAAGCACTGCTCCTTGGGGCACTCCACAAACTAGCAGGTGCCTTCAGGACAGCTCTTCCCCAACGGCCACCCTTTGTCCCCGTCCCTGAAGGAACGAGGAGGGCCATTGCAAGGCAGATCCCTTAATCCCGGTTTTGGCGATGCGGTGGATCAGTAGTGGGTGGTCGACTGTGTCAAACGCTACCAACAGGTCTAACAACAGCAACACTGTCGAACCGTCCCGATCCTCCCGTGGCCTGGTTGGAAGCTGGACTGGAAGGGATGTAATGCGGAGGTGTCATCCAAAAAACCCCGCAACTGAATCGCCACTGCCCTCTCAATTAATTTGCCCAAATAGAGAGGGTGGACCACTGCCTCCTTTAGTACTTATTGATAATCCCCCTTAGGGCACCTCGTAGTCTGTCACAGCCAGCTTTAATTCTGCCTGGGGAAACTAGTTTCACAGTAGTGGCCCCTGGGCCCAGTTGTGTAGTGGGAAACCTGCAAGGAATTGTGGGGGCACCTCCCTTTCCCTGTATCATCTTCCTCACACTGTTTCCTCTTTCCTTGGCAATTCCCATATACTCACCTTTGCCTGCTTCCTTCTCTCCTTCCCACCCACCAATGTGCTTCTTTGATCTGCCCCTATCTTCAGCTAGATCTATTTGCCTCACTTATGCCCTGCCTTTCCCCACAACGGGCACCCAGGCATCTCATCTCATTCTCCTCGCTTCCATTTTATCCTTGCAAGAACCCTGTGAAGTAGGTTAGGCTGAGAGGATGTGATTGGCCAAGGTCACTCAGTGAGCTTCTGTTAGGGCTGCCAAGTGGGGGCGGGTGGCGGGTAAACCCCCGCTTTGGAGGCCCGATTTCCGCCGCCACGGAATCGGGCCCCGGGGGAACCCCGCCCCCCGAAACGCAGCGTGGGTGCATCACAGGAAGTGACACAACCACGTAGAGCACGTTGGGGGCAGTGGCCCCAATTGTTGGAGGGAAAACTCTATGGTTTCCCCTCCAACAATTGGGGCCACGCCCCCAACGTGCTCTACGTCGTGCGTCACTTCATGTGACGTTCTGGTGGTGCGCGTGCCCCCCCCCCGGCAGCTCCCGGACCGAAGCAGTGCTCCCCCGCCGGTGAGTCAGAACGACTTGGCAACCCTAGCTTCTGTGCCAGGCTGGGGACATGAACCTGGATCTCTCAGACCCTAGTCTGAAATTCTCAAACCGCTACACCACACTGGCTTTCGTGGGGTAGCAGTCGTTGAACATTACCTGGCAACCAGGCCTGGGCGAGTCATGCAAGTCATGTGATATCAAGGTGCCTGATGGTGGCTCCTGGTCCTAGCCTCATCGAATCCTCACTCGAAGGCTAAAACAGCCATGGATATGGCTCTGCCTCCTCCCTTGCATTTTACGGTCGGAAACCAAGGCATATGGCCTGATAACAATGTTGTGGTGGTCTAAGAATGGCCACTGAGGGAATCTGTTTCTTGACTCCAGGGCTATTTTTGGGCAGGAACGCACAAGAACGGAGTTCCGGCTGGCTCCTGAGTTGGCCACACCCAGCACGAACTCATTAGCATAATAGGCCACACCCAACAGCAGAAACTCATTAGGGGTGTGTGGCCTAACATGCAAAGGAGTTCCTGCTACAAAAAAAGCCCTGGGTTTTGACAACAAACAAGGTAAACAGAATAAGAAGCAAAAGGTGCGTGTGGCTGGATGACCACACTTCTGGTAACATGGGGGTGCGGCCTAATATGCTAATAGGCTGTGTTGTCAAGGGTGTGGCCTGATATGCTAATGAGTTCCTGCTGGGCTTTTTCTGCAAGAAAAGCCCTGCTTGACTCTATAGGCAGTGCTTCTGTTTGGAGGGAGTAACACTCCCAGAGGTGTGGGGTTTTTTGGGGGGGGGGTAGAGGTTTCAGCTATTTCTGCAAACCTGGAGCTTTTCTCAGGTTTGTTGGAAGATCTCTCTTGTCTGTTCATGGCTCCCCTCTCCAGATTTAGATATCCACAGATTTGGCCATGTTGAGAATTACATGTTTTGATTGATGAGCACATAAATCAGTTGTTCTCAGAGCATGGGTTGGGACCCAAAGTGGGTCACACCTCCGTAGTAGGTGGACAATAAAGCCAGGAAGGTTGAAGAAGAATATGTTGAACCAAGAGGGGACATTCGGGGAAGCTCAGTGGCAAAATTGGATTCACTGCTGCATAATGTGCAAAATAGCAATGAATTACAACCTGCACTGCACTAAAGCTATATATCTCTACATAAGCATGAAAAATAAATTACAAGACTGTCACTGTCACCTGATGTGGGACTTGTACATTTTGTCTTGGTGAGGGCGGAAGAAGCGTGGAGTTACTTTGCAGGTGGGTCCCAAAAACTACATTACATTTAGAAATGAGTTCAACTATCCCTCCATTTTTTGGAGAACCACTGCCATAAATAAAAAAGCTTTGTGATAAAAGATCATTGTGATGGGGCAATTTTTTGTTCTGAGGACCACCTTTACTTTACTTTTGTTGCATCTATTATAACAGTTTGTTGTTCTTAGCATTGATATGCTCTTGGCGTTTCCCATCCTAACTTTCCATTGAACATCCCAGAATGTTGCTTTTGTGATTCACTTGCTTGTATCATGTGTGGTTATAAATATTTTAAGCAGTAGTCTTCCTCAGTGGACACCTGTGATATAGGTGAATGCATTAATTTATCATCTGGCAAAAAAAGGGATTAAAAAAACACAATAGGCCTAGTTCTTGTAATAACAGTTGCTGGTAAACGGGCATATGTGTGTATGAAACCACTTTAAAGACCATGAGATACTAGTCAGGGTGCCATATTCCCTTTCTTTGATTGCTGTTAAAAGCCCGGCAAGATCC